TGTGTGTGTGTGTGTGTGTGTGTGTGTGTGTGTGTGTGTGTGTGTATGTATGTATGTGTGTTTGTTTGTTGGAACATCTGCTGACGCTCATTAGTCAATGATTGTCCCCTTTAAGATATAAATAATTAATTGTTTCTTGTTTGTTTTTTTATTTGAATCACTAGATGTATGTGAAACTGAAATTGCTCCGCACCCCCCTTACTCCCACTCCCATCCTGTTTAAAGGTTGACGTATGTCTGATTTAGTAATCTTCTTTATGTCAACAGAAAAGGTTTACAACTATATTTGGAATACTTTATCTCCACATTATAAACAGGAAAGATAACAGCTGTGTTTGGAATACCTCTCTTTTCTTAGGGTAACAGAGACATGCCATAGACCATTTTAGAGTACTTATCTTCTTTGTACCAAAAATACCCTCTAAAACTAGGTTGGCCCCTAAGCTGGGTCGAAGCAGCCCGCCTCCAAAATTATCTAAATTGTATGAATGGAAACGTAAAACGTCTGCAGCATTTATTATTTCATGTATTTATTTAAGGTATGTATTTATTTATTTATTTACTTATTTATTCATTTATTTATTTATTGGTTTGTTACACCCTGCGCGTGAGATGATATTCACTGCGATGACATATTGGTAAAGGTATTCTTCTACCCGGCAGACATAATGTGTACGATGTGGCTCGCTTAGTAATACTAAATCCCCTCTTTTTTGTGTGTTTTTTTCCAGATACTATCTTCTACATCTCCATGTTGACGCAGAGTATATGACGTCAGAGGACATCTGAATACAACAGTTCTTCCCCCTTACTTCCCGAGCGTGTGTGTGTGCCCGTGTGTGCAGTTGAGTCCCTTTATCCCCCCCCCCCCCTCTCTCTATGTCGTATCCAGCCGGCAGAACAGAGATGGCTTCCTACTACAGCCAGCTCGACCACCATCATCATCACCACCATCACCACCACCACCGTCACCACAACAACAATAACAACAACAGTAGCAGTAACAACAACAACAACAACGGCAGCGTCATCAATTCATCATCGTCTCCATCATCGCTACGTGAGGAAAGTCGCCCTTCCAACGCGAACTACCCCGACGCCGTATCGTTTACGTCACAACACGCTCCATTGTCGTCGCTGTCGCCGCCTGCGTCATCGCTCTCTTCCTCCTCCTCTCCGCCCTCCTACCCATGCCTTCTGCCCGTCCCGGCTGTGGTGGCGACGACCAGTTCTCCCTACCCAATGGTGGAGTTAGAACATCCGGACGTAGACGTGAAGCCGCTTGATCTTCGGCTCCGACCGCGCCGTAGCGAGGAGCCCTCCCCTGGCAAGCTCCGTTGCTCCATGGGGGACGTGAAGGGTATGCCGTACCACCAATCCAAACATTTCAGCAGCAGCAACAGCAATACTAGTGGAGGAGGAGGAGGAGGGGGCGCTATCACTAGCAGCAGTAGTCTGAGATCTCAGAGGTTAACTCCGTATCCTATCTTGAGCTCGTCGTCCCCCGCCTCCCGCTCCCCCCTCGCTCGCACAGAGTCCCCGTTTTATCCGCAGCGCCAGACTCCAAGTCCCGCGTATTACAGCAACGGGCTGAGCTCTCACTATCTGTCGCTTCGACCTTTAGAGAGCTCCTCTTTCCAGCTGCTGACGACTTCGGACCGCGTTCTCAACGGAATGTCTACCGCTGCTAGTCTCTTCAGGCCTTACGAGGACGGTAACGAGGCGGATACGAACGGCGTGAACAGCTCAGACGGAGACAACAGGGCGTTGTCTCGAGGATCTGAGCAGCAGCCGCGGCAGCAGCAGCAGCAGCAACAGCAGCAGGAAGAGGAAGAGCCGACGTACATGGATTTGGATTCGGCCACGACGAAATCCTTGTTCTCCAGAAATGTTAACAACGGCATCAGTGTAGACAACAGCAGTAGCGATAACAACACGAGTAGCAACAACAATAACAACAACAGCAGCAGCGGCAGCAACAACAACAGCAGCAGCTGCAGCAGTGGTAGCGGTAGTGGAGGAAGCGGCAGTAACGTCGCTGCTGACGACTTCGGCAACAATAGTCGTGTTTCCATCTTTTCGTCCGGCGAAGAATCTGTGACGTACGCACCCTCCTCATCATCCTCCTCCTCCTCCTCCTCACACTGCCAGGGAGGAGGAGTGGACGCCGGTCAGATGGACGAAATGACCTCCCGCCACCACCCCCAACACACCTCAGCCGTCATCGCAGAGGTTACGAGCGAGGAGAGTCAGGGCCAAGGCCAAGGTTGCAGGGGTGAGCAGCAGCAGCAGCTCTCTCCTCACGACAGTTCACTGGCGCGTGTGTCCGCCAGCCACCATCCGCTACTCTACCCGCCCACTTCTTACGCCGCGGGTCAGTCCCACCTGGACCAGAAAGCTGCACCCTCCCCCACCTCTCTCCCGTCTCCTCCCCACCAACACCACCACCACCGCCAACCCCCCAAATCTCAGGGACCATCATTTCCGTCGCGGCTTCCGCAACACCACACAGTTCTCCCCAACGTTCGCGATCAACAACAACAGCAACAACAACAATATCATCATCAACATCAGCAGCATCATCGTCATCATCATCATCATCCCCACCATCATCAACAACAACAGCAGCAGCAGCAACAGCAGCTGGACCACCCCGACTCCTCCAGCGACTCGCGACAACAACACCCCGGCCAGATGGCCACCGCCGCCACAGTCCCCGCTGACCACTCGCAGAGCGATCAGTTCACAGCCATGACGTCACGTGACTCCAGCAGCAGTCCGTCTAGCCTCACCTCCTCCACCTCCTCCTCTCCTCTCGCCCTCGCCTCCAAGCC